TCGAACCAGCGGGCTCGGGCAATTCACTCACCTCAGCCTCCCAAAGGCGTGGGATTATAGGCTGAGCCACTGAGCCCAGCTTTTGGGGACATTTTAATGAAGCAGTCATGAGATTTTTCTCAAAGCAAGAAGGGAAGATTTGTCCAATGCAGTGTTGTGAAGAGATCGCCAATCATCTGGTAGAGTCTGCAGTGGTAAATCAAAGGCACAGAGAAGCCTCCTAACATTTTAGAACCCAACTTCTGAGAATTTTATCTGGAGATACTATAAGGTCAAAAGCAGGATAAACCAGTAAAACATAGTACCATCACCATCTTACTCCTGTTTGTTATACAACGGAATATTCAACTATCTTATACTTTCACAAACAAGACTTCCAGAACAGAACAGTTGACTAGAATTGGATTCAAGGCAACTTTGGGAATCTCAGCACCCAAACTCATGGATCTTCCATTTAATCTTTTGATATTCATGTTAACACGGCTAAATGCACTCATTTCAGTCTCTGCTTCTCTCCGTGCCCATTCTTTTCTTCTACCAGCTATTCACATCTTTACCCACAGCTTCTGGTCACTTGTAGTGATGGGAAGGCAGTATGATTCATCTTTCTTAAGACCCGTCATTAGCAGGGCTGGGTGGCTCAGCCTGTAATCCCACACTTTGGGAGGCTGAGGTGAGTGGATTGCCAGAGCCCGCAGGTTCGAGACCCGCCTGGGCAACTTGGCGAGACCTCATCTCTACAATAAACCAAAAATGAGCCAGGCGTGGTAGCGCGCGCCTGTAGTTCCAGCTACTGGAAAGGCTGAGGTGAAAGGATTACCGGAGCCCAGCAGGTCGAGGCTGCGGTGGCCGGAAGCGGCCACTGCACTCCAGTCTGGGCGACAGAGTGAGACTCCAACTCAAAAAAAAAAGACCCATCATGACACTTGGGCCTCTCTAAACACCTAATATCCTTTTGGACACTGTTCCTATTGCTGTTTCCCAGGTTGGTTTGTTCATAGTTTGGGTACTTTTTACATTAGGCCATTTTACAAATTGACCTCGCTTTGGTAAGGGGTCAATCCCAGTTCAAACAACTGTGGCTGGAAAGTCAGTCACATGGAACAAAATGTGGCCATCTAAAGGTACCTCATAGGTGAAGTCTGTGGGCAGGACAGTCTAAGTAAGCTCAGGCAGTAGATGGAGGGAGGTCAAGCATGTTTAACCACTAAGAGGGTCATTGCCATGCTTAAAGACAGTGAAATATGCAATATTTATTTATTCATTTTAAAATCGAACAAAGTTTATTTGAGCAAAAAAAAGAGTTCTAGAACCAGTCAGCATTCTAGACCAAAGATGGTTCAGAATGCCCTCTCCTCATTGATGAGCTATATTGATAGCCAGAAAACAGACGACATGGGCAATATTTAATTAATTGATCTTATTATTTAAGAGAGGTCTTCATAAGATTATGGAGGAGGAAAGTAAGAACACAGAGTTAATGATATGGGGTGGGGCTTTGTGGGAGTGGCATTGTATAAAGCCTTATATATGAGAAGAATGAAAATTCTTAAGTTATTTACAAAGGCTCTTCTGAGTCAGAGGATTGGGGATGTCTGAAATTCAGGGCAGCTGGTTGTTTGATCATATTTAGATTAGGAAGGAATAGGAAGTCAGTCACAAAAGATCACATATTGTGTAATTCCATGTATATGAAATGTCCAGATAGGCAATCCATAGATAAAAAAAGATTAGTGGCTGCCTAGGACCGGGGATGGGGAAAGTAGGAAATGACTGCTAATAGATATTGGATTTCTTATTGGAGTCATCAAAATGCTTGAAAATTGATTGTTGCAATGGTGGTACAACTCTATAAATAAACTAAAAATCAATGAATTGTGTACTTTAAGTGGGTAGATTGTATGGTATATGAATTATATTTCAATAAGGCTGTTAGAGCCAATAGGAGCTTTTTTGAGATTCCAATATTATTGTCTTGAAACATTATGTTTTTTCTGGATAAAGGAAAGCTAAAATGATTTAAAAAAAAAATTGGTCTGGATGGTCTCTCCACTATACCATCCCATTGTTACCTATGCGCTGTGGGGAAAGTCAATACAAAACCCATTAATTAAGTCTAAGCTTCTGAAGCATATGTAAATATAAGTAAATAAGTCAACCTAATAGTGAAATAAGTGGATTTATATAAAAATCTATCTATCTACCTATCTATCATCTATATCAAAACTTTTGTCAGGTATAAGTAATATCCTCTTCACTAAAAAAAGCTTAGTGGCTCAGCCTGTAATCCCACACTTTCGGAGGCCGAGGTGAATGGATTGCCTGAGCCCGTGGGTTTGAGACCCGCCTGGGCAACTTGGCGAGACCTCATTTCTACAGTAAATCAAAAAATTAGCCGGGCATGGTAGCGCGCGCCTATAGTTCCAGCTACTTGGAAGGCTGAGGCGGAAGGATCGCCGGAGCCCAGCAGGTCGAGGCTGCGGTGGCCGGGAGCGGCCACTGCACTCCAGTCTGGGTGACAGAGTGAGACTCCAACTCAAAAAAAAAAAGTAAGCTCTTGGTGTTAAGGGATAGTATTTTCCTTGAATGATTATTGGAACTGGCCCAATTTTCCCATAGAACTGAAGCTTAAGAGACTGACATTTATCTTGTCTGAGTTCCTTTCTCAGGAGGCAGGCCATCAGACTTCCTGGATGGCATCAAGGAACTGAAACTTTCCAGATCATAGCATGAACAGTAAGATGCATCTGCTCCCTATTGCCTTTTCCTTGCCCCTATTTCCTGCTTTATATAGACCCCTAACTTTAGTGGGGAGCAGGGGAAGAGATGGATTTGAGACTTGTCTCATCTCTTATCAGATGTCACCCACAATATAGCCTTTCTTCCCCACCAGTACTCTTTGTCTCGGTGATTGGACTTCTGTGCAGCAAGCAATCAGACCTAGGTCGAACCCCTGACATTTGGCAACCTTATTACATAAATTAAACCAATTTGGCTTGTTGGTTGCTAATTTTTTAAAGTAGTTTCCAAGCTCAGTGCAGTGGCTCACACTTGTAATCCCAGCACTTCCAGAGGTGGAGGCAAGAGAATTGCCTGAGCCCAAGGATTTGAGACCAGCCTGGGCAAATTAGCCAGACCAGTCTCTACAATAAATCAAAAAAATAGCTGCATGTGTTGTCGTGTACCTTTAGTTCCAGCTACTTGAAAGGTGAGGCGGAAAGATCACCTGAGCATAGCAGGTCCAGGTTGCGGTAGCTGGGAGTGTGCCACTGTACTCCAGCCTGGGGGACAGAATGAGACTCTGACTCACAATAAATAAATAAAGTAGTTTCCAGTGGCCACAGGTTGGAAAGTGTTAGTAAGACTGGGGTGCTGGCGGGGGCAGCAAACCAGAAATTAGGATACATGTGTACCCTGCCTCTTAATAGCTGTTGTGAACTGGACAACTCATTTATAAGATAATCTATAAAATAGAAATAATTTGTAAAAACAAAAAGATATTATCAGGACTACCTACTTTATAGATTATTGGGAGTATCAAATAAGATTATTATATTGGGAGGATCAAATAAGCTAGTATGTGAAAATGCTTTAAATAGTTAAAAGTGCCATTCAAATGTATTTGTTTTTATTAAGCTAGAAACCATTTAGATAACTTAATTCCTATGATACTGGTTAAAAACATAGTATTCTGCAAAATCTTCCCTTCCTTGCTCCCTAAAATGCCATTTGTAATTCATGGTAAACTCTATAAACTTGTTCTGAAACCATTAGGATTTGTGGCTATCCATTTAATATCTTCAAGAACACTCTTCCTAGAAGTGTTGCTGCAAATGTCCCAAAGCGCCCTCTTCCAAATATGAAACAGACTTATAGGTTAAAACTGGGCATGCAATCATCCAAGAGATGAGGACTGTTAATAACACTGCCACTTTATCAGAAAAGGTTAAAAGGGACTTCCAATCTCAAATTATAAGATGTTTGGAACACATCACATTTTGTCAACCTAATAAAGAAAATAAAGTTTAATTTCCCCAAATTTTATTAAAAATGGGCTCTGTCATCAGATATCTTATTGCAAAGATGAAATCTCACAACAGAGCAGTAAAGTTTGTTATAATAACAAGCTTAAGCAAATATAAATTCTTTTTGTAGTTCTTGAACTTGAAAGACTTTTAGCATTTAAAAAAAAACTGTTTTCTTTTTTCCATGAGTCATGGACAAACATTTTCTCATAAGAATTTCTGTTTATTAAAATGACTTTTGAGTTGTTAAGGCAAGGGGAGGGGAAAAAGAAAGGGCGGTGTTCAGATCAGTTTTGAAAAATTAAAAAAGCAATTGCCAGTCCATTTCTTAAAATCTTTATTGTTTGGTACTCTTATAGTGTAAAAACTGCCATTTCCCCCCCAAATCCTGTCTCTTCTTTAAACCTTAAAAGAATGAAAACAACTACCCAATCAGCCATAGCAGTTCTACAGCATATACAAAGTTCAAACTAAAAGGAAACTTTGAAATATATTCTATGACATACTTGAATACATTTGGTTATGGCTACCCTAGGTGGATATTTTTTGGGTAAAATTTATCCTTAGGTAGCACTTTTGGTTTGAGAAAGTGCTGAGGTAATTGTCTAGGAGCAGAATATGTCTATATGGCACCCTTTTCAATTGAAAATATTTTATAGTTAACAAAACTGAATGTGACCAAAGTATCCTAAATTCAGTACCAATTCCATTATCATTTTTCTTGCAAACTTTCCCCTGGCATTTTTGCGTACATATAGTTGTCAGTCTTGGAGGGCAACGGAGGTGTAATAGCACTATTTAGCTTTTTGGTTAGCTCCATGAGAGCTGAACAGATACGTATCCAGTGGTATAAGTGTTCAATGACGATATTACCAAATTTCCATACTTCAATTCGGGAATGACCTGCATCAAGAAAAGAAAAGTTAGTATGGGTAGTTTTGTGCTTTTATTATTAAAATTATAAGTTCTAGCCAGGCTCGGTGGCTCAGCCTGTAATCCCTCACCTAGGGAGGCTGAGGTGAGTGGATTGCCTGAGCCCGCAAGTTTGAGACCCACCTGGGCAACTTGGCGAGACCTCATCTCTACAGTTAAAAAAAAAAAAAAAATTAGCCGGGCATGGTAGCGCACGCCTGTAGTTCCAGCTACTTGGAAGGCTGAGGCGGAAGGATTGCCGGAGCCCAGCAGGGCGAGGCTGCAGTGACCGGGAGCAGCTACTGCACTCTAGTCTGGATGACAGAGTGAGGCTCCAACTCAAAAAAAAAATTATAAGTTCTAATATTATGATTAAAGTTTATTAGATATGTTTTGAGTTAAAACCATAGCAGAATCTTGTTTAAATATGTAATTACAGGGACATGGGTAGATACATTTGGTATATTTATTTTATATATGGAATACTTAGCAGTTAACAATTAAAGAATTAGAGCTGTAGACATCATTGTGGATAAATCTCAAAAATAAATTGAGCACAAAAAGGAAGTTGTAGGATAATATGTACTTTTGGGAACAATTAAAATGCTGTTTAAAAACCTGCAAAATAAGCTGGGCTCGGTGCCTTAGCCTGTAATCCCGCGCCTTTGGGAGGCTGAGGTGAGTGGATTGCCTGCT